AACATATAAGCGACTGTACTTTAAATGCTCAGTCCTAGATAAAATGATCCCAAAGGGTTTCATATTAATGGGTATTGAAGCTGCTTTATGGTGCTTGCTTCCCTTACCATGTAATGGTAGCTGTTCGCTTAATCTACAAGCTGAACCCACTTATTTGTCTAGAATGTGAAAAACCTCAAGATACAACAAGATCTCTTTACATGCATTTCCTTTTAGTTTTTATTGTTTTTGCTCTGTATCCTATGTGGGCCTGGAACTCATTACAGATCTTGTGGTGACCTCAATCTATGCAAAACTCCCAAGGGTCACAGTTGTGAAGTGTCATGCAGGCATTTTCAAAGCTGGAGACAGCCCTCTGTTGTGAATAATGTCATGGATTCAGTGCTAGGGGCATGACAATCCTGTTCACCTTAGAGTCACTGGAAGAAAATATATTGCAAGTTTGTGTAAATGCTCCTCTTGCAGGTCAAACAATATCTTCATTATTTCAGATTTTTCTATTTGGATTATTATTTTGTTTTTTTTTCATGTTAAGTATGAGAACCATGTAATGTTTCACTCCAGTGAAAGACTGTATACTTGGCTTTTTAGCTACTTTTGAAACTCACGGTGTGCTTCTCTCAGAATTAGGTGAATGTACTCATTGGACTGTTAGCATGACTTGTTGCGTTCACATATTTTCAGTCAAAGTCTTGTTTCTATTCTTTATATGTATATACTCAATCTTTCAACCACAGTATATGAGGAAATAAAAAACTATCATGATGTTCACATCTGTCTTTTTAATAACTTCCTTGTTTGTTGGTTGGTTGGTTTTTTTGAGACAGGGTTTCACTGTATAACAGCCTTGGCTATCCTGGAACTAGCTATGTAGAACAGGCTGACCTGAAACTCACAAAAATCCACCTGCCTCTGCCTCCTGAATGCTGACATTAAAGGAGTGGCCCACCATTGCTTGTCTTGTTTGGTTTGTTTTAAAGATATATTTATTTTATGTGTATGTGTGTATGCCTGAGTTTATGTACATTCATTGTGTGCTTCCAGGTGTCCAAAGAGGCCAGAAGAGGGCATCGGATCCTCTAGAACCAGAGCCACTGGATATGGGTGCTGAGACGTGAACTTGGGTCTTCTACAAGAGCAGCAAGTGTTCTTAGCCATTGAGCCCTTTTAGTAACCAACCTTTTGTTGTAAATTGTAGTATCCAAGCCCAGCTCTTTGCTAGAGCCTGCGAACCCAGTAAGGCTCTTCAAAAATGTCTACTTACTCAACAGTTTCTATGGAACCCTGACTTAGTCTTCCTACTGGCAGTTTCTTAATTTATTATTTTATTATCTGAATTTTACTTTTTAAATTTAATACTATTGGACTCTACCTTTTTCTAGTTCCAGATAGCACCTTTTGGCCATCTTTTCAGATTTCTGTAAAATACAACTTGCTGTCTTCATTTTTCTTTCTTTTCTGTACTCTTAGGCCTACCCCTTTGCCCCATGGTTTGTTAGAATGATTGATGAGAAGGCAAGAGTTGGAGACCATTCAGCGAACTTTGTAGTGATCCTGTGAGGACAGCCAAAGACAGCATCTGGTCATATGTTTTGGTTTATTTGGTGCTGTTTTACAAAGTACTAACAATGCAGGAATAAGTGGACTATGAGAAGCAATTCTGCTACCCAATGAACAAATACATGTCATGATTTGATCTGTCCATCAGAAGTAATGCCAGTTCCCTCACAAATGAACAGTTATGTGGCTTCGATTTAAAAAAACAAAATGTTACAGCCAATCCAGCATAAGTGTTCTATTCAGTGTCACATACATTGTTATAAATCATTGTTCTTTTTTTCCACTGATCACCAATTTCTTTCAGCCAGATTTAGTCTCTATAGAAAAAGAAATTTTAAGATGATTACTTAAAATGGTGTGTTTTATATGGTTAAAAATCTGTACATGGGTGCTTTACATTTCTTCAATTTTTAAAATACTAGTTACTTTGATTAGTTCTTATTAATTCATTTATTTTTCATATGTTGAAAATCTCTCATCCTAGTACTGCTTTAATTTAGGAAAATTTGTTTTCTTCTTTGCAAACGATCTTAATTAATCATAAAAGAGAAAAAACAGTAAATTTACTGTGGAAAATCTTGGCAGATACCACATTCACCCAAAGCTCAAAGTTCAGCAGTGATAGGCACATTAGGAGGTAAGACCTTCTACTAGAAGGGATGAGCCTGAGTATGATGAGGAAACACTGAGTGGACTCACATGGCAGAGTCTCTAAGGTGACAGCTACTGTATTACAAAATGTCCCTGGAGGGTTTGATGCTCAGCTCCTACATGTTGGCTCACAACCATCTATAATTCAGTTCTAGGGGACTTTTTTGGGACTCTGTACACACCAGGTCCACCAGGTCCACCGATATACAAGCAGGCAAAACACCTCTGCACATAGAATTAAATTTAAAACAAAAAGAAGTCAGTGATGTCAAAGACAAAAGTGAGAAGTCTCCAAGGATCTTTGTATGACCTGGGATTTTCTTTCTCTGTAAAGAACATGGTAGGATAGTTGAAATTTAAAAAAGAGTTATAGATTTTTATTATTTTTTAAATATTCTTGACATTGATGATGGTATTAGGTTATATGTAAGAATATAATTAGGAAATACAAGTTTATATATTTGCACACGTAGGCATGCTCAAGGGCAGGATGGGGGGTGAGAACAAGAAGGCAACTGTAACTTTCTAAGTATGGAAGGTCTGTGGGAATTCTTCTGAAACCTTTTAAATCATGACTTAAACTATGTTCAAAGAAAGTTTCAAAAATTCTACTTTATCAAATGAAAGTTTTTAGACATTCACCTAAAAATGTTTATCATTGAATTGACTTCCAGTTACTGATGGAAGAAAATGCAGTGATCCACAGCCAAGCACTGGGCTGAGCCCCTGGAGTTCAGTTGAAAAGAGGGGGGAGAGAGAATATGAGCAAGGGGCTCAAGATCATGATGGGGAAAACCACAGAGACAGCCCATCTGAGCTAGTGAGAGCTCAGGGATTATTATAAACTGACACCTGGGGAACCTGCGTGGGACCAAACTAGGCCTTCTAAATGTGGTGACAGTTATGGAGATTGGTCTGTTTAGGGGGGCTGGGGCTGGCAGTGGGACCAGGACTTATCCTGGGTATGTGAACTGGCTTTTGGAGCCCATTACCTATTGTGGGATACCTTGTCCAGCCTGATTGGGGGGAGGGGCTTGGTCCTGCCTCAACTTGGTATCCCAGACTTTGGTGACTCCCCAAGGGAGGCCTTATGCCCTCTGAGGAGTAGATGGGGGGGGGGGGGGTGGGGGGGGGGGGGGGGGGGGGGGGGGGGGGGGGATGGGATGAGGTGGGAAGGAGGAAGGGGAAGGAGGAGGAACTGGGGTTGGGATGTAAAAATAAAATAAACTTTGCTATAAAAAATGTTTATCAAATGAAAGATTTTAGATATTCATCTAAATTTAGATCTTCCCTTCCTTCCTTCCTTCCTTCCTTCCTTCCTTCCTTCCTTCCTTCCTTCCTTCCTCCTTCTTTCTTCTTTTGGTATGGGAATTTTGCCTGCATGGCATGCATATCTGTACACCACTTGCGGGCCTTGTACCCACAGAGATTAGAAGAGGGCATTAGATCCCTAGACCTGTAGTTACAGTTGCACAACTGGAGTTACAGAAGACTATGCACATGTGGGTGCTGTGAATTGAACTCTGGTCTTCTGGAGGAGCAGCCAGTGCTGCTAACTGCTGAGATATCTCACTCACTAGCCTGCAAGCTTGTTTATTTAGAGCAGTGGTTCTTCACCTTCCTAATGCTGTGATACTTTTAACACAGTTCCTCATGTTGTGGTGACCCCCAAACATAACATTATTTTCATTGCTACTTTATAACTGTAGCCTTGCTACTGTTATGAATCTTAGTGTAAATATCTGTGTTTTCTGATGGTCTTAGGTGATCCATGTGAAAGGGTCATTCGACCCTGCAATGGAGTCACGACCCACAGGTTAAAAACCACTGATATAGAGACTTTCTCTTTTACTTTGTGTAGCCTCGTTGACTTTTTGACTTTGGTCATGTTATCGGCAGTAAACCCAATAGTTTAGTCTTAGGTGGTTGTGCATTACCAGTAACTCCTTTTTTTTTTTTTTTTTTTTTTAATTTTAGTGGCAGTAGTGGGTTGTTGTTGTTTTTGTTTTGTTTTGTTTTTGTCAAAAAAGATGTAAGAGCAAAAGTTTATTTACAATAAGGTGTAATCTTGAGTGACTTAGATTTATACTACATTGACTTGGACTGGGAACACAGCTCAGTAGTAAAATGCTTTCCTTACATTTGCAAAACCATGGACTTTGTCCCTAGGACCAAACACACACACACACACACACACACACACACACACACACTCATACAAAACTTGCACACACATTCCCACTCCTTTCTATTATTTTTAAGAAGGAAGCATATTCTGGATGTAACTTCCTCCAGTTAGATTTGCCATTTCTACTCCTAAAATTCTCAACTACAGTGCTAGGATTTTACTTTTTGTTGTTGGTATGTATTCACAAAAAGATTGTTTATTTTTCTGTGCTCTGTGTATGTGCAAGTATGTGTCTAGGTGTCTGTGTACTTATACATATAAGAGTTGAAGAAGGGGCTGGAGAGATGGCTTAGCGGTTAAGAGCACTGACTGTTCTTCCAGGGGTCCTGAGTTCAATTCCCAACAACCACATGGTGTTGAATGAGATCTGGTGCCCTCTGCTGGCATGCAGGCAGAAGACTGCATACATAATAAATAAATAAATAAATAAATAAATAAATAAATAAATAAATATTTTTAAAAAAAGAATTGAAGAAGAAGGAATTTAAATTTTAGTTTTCCCAGTTCCGTTAGAAGTAGACCTTCTCCAGCAGCACAAAAAGAACTGTTCTGGATGGTGACTGAAGTTATATTAGGCTGGGTTATGCTTTTATGTGGGAGGTACTACAGAGAAACATGTTAATGTTTTCTCTGAAGAAAGAAATGAAATTCTAAATGTTCATTTATAAGTCATGTTGCTTTCTTGTTAAATGGAATAATGTGATTGTTCCCTTACACCAGCTTTGGGTGTGATTACACTGTAAAGTTAGTGCCCATGGTACACTTAGTCGATGCCATTCTAGCTGAAGTAAGTGATAGCCCACTGACCTAGCACTAAAACATTCTATTATAGAGGTAGAGAAGGAAGACTTCAGGACTGCCAGTTCACAAGGACTTCATACCGGAAGATGTATTTAGACAAAGCAGGAATCTTAATTGCACTCATAATATATACCTAGAGTTACTATCTGGATATTCACCTTGATTTGGTAAGACGGTATAGGTAGTTACCATTCCAGCATGAACATGGTCAGTCACATGGCAGTGGAGTAACCAGGTTCCAGGTGTTTGGGGAAACATTTCTAGGGTTTGATATGTTCCAGGGAAAAGGTCAAAGACATCAGAACTGTAAATTCCCCTGTGCTTTATTAGAAAAAAATGATAAATGTTAGAGTTTATTCAGTAGTCTTTCATCAGTCATCTCCAAGTATTAAATAAAAACAGAAATATTAAAAAAATGAATCCCTCCATATTTTATGTAGTGAAATATGTGGTCCTCACCTAAAGCCTTAGCACTCTGGGCCATCAAGGAAGATGTGAAGGAGGACATTGATTAGTCAGGACTACTATGTTTAACACCATGCTTCTGGCTTGCCTCTTTGTCAGAGATTGAGCTACACAAAGCAGCCATACTGTGGTGTCAATTGTGCTTGTACCTATGATAGTCTATCTTGTTTGTGAAACTGTAAGGCAAAGATAGTATAATGGAAGCAGATAGAGAATTTAAATAACAGTGACAGTTCAGGTATTCTCAATCCCTGTCACTGGCATATTTCTATGGAAATGATATTGAAAGCCCATTACGATATATGTACAGAAAACAGTACAGATTATAAAATAGACATTCTGCAATGTGCCTTTTTCTTTTGAAAACCAGTGCGTTTTTCTACATTAGTTTAAAAACAGGGGAAAACACGTCTTAAGAGGACCATTGCTTTCACTAGGTAGTAGTTCTGGGGATGTGAGTTGCTTGACGCCTAAGTGTTAATTCACCTAACCCAAGATATGAGGAGGCTGGTGTAGCAGTGAGATGGCAATGCTGTTAGAGCCTTCCTTTTTCATAGATATCTCTGATGAAATGTATTCTTGGCTTAAATTAAAACATACTAAGCTGAGCAAGAATGACGACTGTGGTGGTTCTTACCTTGTATCGGAAGCTGTGGCCATGAAAGTGTACGGTGTGTAAGTCTATTTCATTGCCCATTCCCATCACGTACCAATTGACTTCATCTCCCACGTGCATTGTGAGGCCTTGTAGATTTCCAAACATTTTTCCATTAATAGCTGAGGAAAATTTGATACATTTCAGAATAGTTTAAACCCATAATTGTTTCTCAGGAATTATTACTAGGTCAACATAACAGAGCTTACTTCACCAATATCACTGCGATTTTTCAAGGTACTTCATATGAAGAGCCTTAATACTAATTGCGAATTTATTTAAAAGGGAATGAGGGTTTGTAATTGGGAGAGGAATTAGTAAAGATTTTTAAACATAGCCCTATTTTGGTTTTGAGCAGAATTTTACATTACAATATTTTTAAATGAAACAGTCCTACAACATGATTTTCTTTGAAAGAAGAAAGAGGTAAAAAAGGAAAGTGGTTTAGAATAGTTTCCTCATACCATGCATTTTATTGCTTTCTATGAATTCCTCATCCTCTTTGTTTACTTTCTCGGGATGATCAGAGTACTTTTTGATGTTGTCATCTAAGTACCAAGATTCATTCTCATCAAATACTAGAAACAAAAGGGAAAACTCCATTTTCTTTATAGGATTGAATACTTTCACGTAAGGTTTCCGACAAACAATCAGTGGGCCTATTAGTCCACTATAGAGATCCTGAAAACAAGCAGAAACTGCAGTTATCTTCGAAGTGTTGGTCATGATTTTAGAGAGCTGGGACTCTATCCACGTCCCAGCAGTTCTGAAGGGATTGGGTTTAGTGGGATACCTAGCCCAAAGGAAAGCCACCATTTACTATCTTCATACTTGACACGGTTAATGATGAAAAGTAGGTAGGTCATTTGAGTGATGTGGAACTTAGATTTTTAAAAAAAGTGGCTTAACTCATGATCTACCTGAATGAACATGGTTGGTTGTTTCTTTCATAAGCTTGTGGACTTAGCAGGATGAGCCAGTCACTCTAAATCCATGTCTGAATGAAACAAAACCTTTTGCTGTAGGAGAAATGAGTAGAAGCCAAGGAAATTGTCCAATGTCATGGAGAAACAGAATACTAATGAATACCCATGTGAAAGACCACACTTAATTCTTTAACATCTGAGGAATTTGGTGTGGCCAGGTGTCTGTGATGGCAGATTGTGTCTTATATCTTTCTTGTATTAGTGCTGTATTAGTGAAATTCAGACAATGTCATAAGCAGCCTCTGAAACACTGGACAGAGAACGACAGTAAATCTACATCTTAGTCCAGTTATATTGTTCGATCGAAAGAAGACTTGGAAAAGTCTGGAGCCTTGGAGGCAGCAGTTGAGTCAAATTACAAGTACTGAAGTGTGAAAATGGAGAGAAGTGGGCTAGGCAATTGTAAGAGCAAATTATCTGGGTTATCCGAGTGGTTCAAAGTTCTTGCTTGAATGAATGGATAGAGCAGCACTTAGGTTGCTGGTATTTTTCAACAGAAAATGGAGGGGAGGAAGACCCCTTTAGAAGGTGCTAGGTTTTAAATCTGGGAATTTCTGATGGAGGTACCCAGCATGGAGCTGTATTGACATATCGGAAACTCAGAAGGGATTCTGATCAAGATTTTGTTCCACAGAATGAACAGTGTACCATCTCACTTGAGAGGGCTGTTGGGGGATTTTTGGCTTTGTGATATTTTATTGAACAATACATATGTAAAGTTCTGATTGCCTGTTGGGATTGCTTTTATTACAACAAAGAATTCTGAGCCACATATCTTACTTTTTGCACCTGATATGTTTTCATATCAAAGAAAAATAAAATCAGTTTTGTAATGTTTATTAGGTGTTATCAATAATCAACCAAAATGAAATAACTATGACTGTATGTTTAAAAGCAAACAAACTAAAAATGCAAACTGAAATAGATTACAGAGCAACTTATTTTCCTGGGATTTTGACATAGATTGGAGTACAGGAAAACTCTAACTTTATCTTCTTTCAATTGTCTCTCTATCTGGAGAATTCTTACGGAACAAATGTTTAAAGCTTACCTTAACTTTATCCACAGTTGAGTAGTAAGCCCATGGAATACAAGCCGTATCCTCTGCTCCAGCACCTGATCTCTCTGGGATTTGCCACATGTAAGTGCGAATTTCACCTAAATTAACCGAGTTACATGTCTGGTTATATTTGGCTTATATCTGACATACACGTTTCATATGCTTGTATATCTTATGTACACATACAATATATAGATATATTAAGCCTTGGCAATTAGTGATGCAGAAAGTAAAAATGTCAAGATATTAAAAATTAATAGTAGTCAAAATTCTTTCAGGAATTTAGTGAGTGTATGTATATGTGTGGGGTGTGTGTGTGTGTAAGTGAGAGAGAGAGAAAGAGAGAGAAAAAGAGAGAGAGAGAGAGAGAGAGAGAGAGAGAGAGAGAGAGAGAGAGAGAGACCAGACAGACAGACAGACAGACAGAGTATTACATACCACAACACACAAGAAAGTTGGGGTAGTTTGTGAGAGTTCTCTCTTTCAACCATGTGGGTTCTGGAGATGGAACTTGAGTTATCAGGCTAAGCACCTTTACCCATCTAACCACCTTCATGTCCCTGGAGTTCAGTTCTAAGATAGACTAAGGTATTCTTATGTCATTATATATTTGCTCTCATTTACTTGTCATAACAAAGCCAAGGGTTGTCATTCTAATGTCATAGTTTGAAGAAAATGAGTGGATCCATCTTTCCTTACTCTGAAGTAGGTTTTATTAATATCTTTTTTCTGTGGATACTATGTGGTTACTCCCCGCCTCAGCACATGGCTCATGGTGTTTCTATACTGATGCTGCCCTGTAGAATCAGCTTCCCCCTTCCCTTCTTTCCTGCTTCCTTCTCACTGTCTTGCTCAATGTGCTGATGATTCTTTGCAAGGAACCATGAGACCACTGATGTTAAAGGTCACTGATTTCTCCTAATTCTGTCTACTTCTTCTGTAACAATCTGGTTCTGTCTCACCATGTGCTTCTTTGTCACTATTCTGTCACAAGCAAGACATATACTGTTTTGAAGATAGTTACTCTATCCCCTTACTGTGTCATGTACTGTCTTCCCATGTACTCCTGGCTCTTTTCCAATCTAACCAGTTACTTCAGAACTTCCTGTATATCTGTCCACAGACCTTGACTTACGACTACTTTCATGAGCTGGTCCTGTCAACCGTCTGTCTAATTTGTTTAGATAGACTTTACCATACCTGTGAACATAGTACTGCCAGAGTAATACTCTGGAGTCTGAAATCCTTTATTAGGGAATCAAGCAAGAATTGAGGTCTGTTCTTAAGGGATGTGTGGGCTTTCCCCCCTTTTCTCCAGCCATCGCTTTTAGTCCCAATGTCATCATACCTTATCCAAGCAGAATTTTTTACCAAGAACATAAAATGTAAATGTAACACTTCACTGTCTCACTTCTGCCCACCACTCTTTTTTTTCAGATTTTTTAATTTGAATTAGAAACAAGATTGTTTTACATGACAATCCCAGTTCCCTCTCCCTCCCCTCCTCCCCCACCCCACTCCCAACTAAACCCCTACCTATCACATATCCTTTCTGCTCCCCAGGGAGGGTGAGGCCTTCCATAGGGTGTCATCAGAGTCTATCATATCCTTTGGGATAGGGCCTAGGCCCACTCCTGTGTGTCTTGGCTCAGGGAGTATCCCTCTATGTGTATTGGGCTCTCAAAGACCACACCAATGCTAGGGATAAGTACTGAACTACTACAGGAGGTCCTGTAGATTTCCAAGGTTTCCTCACTGAAACCCAAGTTCCTGGGGTCTGGATCCATCCCATGCTGGTATCCCAGCTATCAGTCTGGGGACCAAGAGCTCCCCAATGTTCACTGCCCACCACTCTTATTTCCATAAGCTGCTCTTCTAGCCTGCTCTGTCAGCAACGATTGATTCCCAAAGCCCCACAGTCACCATAAGACTGTGTTCAATTTTCAGCAGGACTTTTTGGTATCAGAGTCAAGTAGAATTACAGTATGAGAACTTCTTACCCCTTCCTCTGCTTAGTCTCATTGTTAATTCTAATTATGGTATTTTTTTTTATCCTTTTAGTGCAGAATTTCCCTAACGTGTCTTTAATGCTGCCTGCCATTTTTCTCTCCCATAGTCACTTACTCATAGGTCACCCAGAAGAGCCTCTTAAAAATTGATAATAAGATAAATCCTCTTTAACTCAGGTGAGTGTTCAGTATAAAACCTTGATTCCTAATCATAGCCTCCCAGGACTTTATGCCATACAGTTTCTTGTCTCCTTGGTTCCCATCTGCTAACATTCTGTTCCCTCTTCACTCTGCTTGCATCTCTGGGCTCCTCACCATTTCTAAGAGACACGAAGCATGCTCCCACTTGAAGACCTAGAATCTTGCCTCACAATTAACTTGTGCTGCTCTTCCCTTATCATTTAAGTCTTCACCAGTGTCCAGTCCTACTGATGGTCCTACCTAAAACAACACCAGTTTCTCTCTTACTCTGATGTGTCTTTTTCATATCCTTGGTTACAACTCAATAGTATCTATGTCTTTCTTAGCAGATCAAGAGAGAAAATTTTGCTCTCTGTTTTCTTAAATTTATAAAAGTAATTCAGAGCACTCTCTTTTTTTGTTGTTTGATATATTTGGGGACTGCTACGTTTTTAAAACAAATCCCTTTCCTGTAAAATAATTTTAATTTCTACTTGTGTGTACATAATGTATCTAGGTTTTAATTCCCAAACCATAGACATTGTTTGAGAGGCTAGTACATGAATATTCTACCCCACAGTGTAGCAGATGCTACTTCAAATATGTTCTAGGTGAGTGGAGGGAGCATCTATCTAATTCACTCTTCCATGTTTGTAAATGTTGGGTACTTCCATGTTCCTTTTTACAGCCCCTCTGCAAACTGGTTTGGCACAAAGTACTTGTACTCAATCACCCACAAAGAGCTAGTCCCTGCATCCTCTGTCCCCATCTTTGCAATACCTCATAGAATACTCATTTAGAAGGACTATCCTTTACAGTAGCGGGCACTTATGGAGTGGCAATAATATCTGCATGATGTATCCCTCTGCCCTCAGTACCTGGCAATGTTGGAGCAACTGTAGAACTCTCTGTTTTCACCCCATGGGCATGTATTGAATATGGCCTTGTTGCCATATTTTTAAAGACAATTTTAATTTTGTCTCCAACATCTGCATGAATTTGAGGACCTGGCAAGAGTGAAAAGGAAAATTAGTTTGCTGTCTTGTGTTTTGGAATGTCTGTGTTAGTGATAAAAGCAAAAGTCAGGTAATTTTTCAGTGTGAAGGATGGAATCTTTTCCTCCCATGGCTTTCAGCTGTTACAGTCCATGATTTATTTCTGGTCCCAGAGGATGTACATAAAAACACGAGATAGAGCGCTCTAAATATGGAGTCCATACTGTGTTCTTATCCAGAGTTCCAGGAGACACTGCTGCCTGAAAATCCTCTGAGGGTCAGAGGTCTAATGCAGAGAGCTGGTGGCAGGCCAGGAGCCGCTGTGCACAGTTTACTTTCAGGGCTCAGTGTCTGGACTTCCAGGCAAAGGGTTGTTCTGGTAAAGGATGAAGCCTGTCCTCCAGCTTCTGCTCTCTAGCCAGCTATAGCTTTTTCCTGTCACATGCATTTCTGTTACCCTCAACAATGCCATTAGCTCTAGAGCAGCAGTTCTCAACCTGTGGGTCTGGACCCCTTTAGGGGTTGAATGACTCTTTCACGGGTGTCACCTAAGACTATCAGAAAACACAGATATTAACATCATGATTCATAACAGTAGCAAGATTGTGGCTATGAAGTAGCAATGAAAATAATTTTATGGTTGGAGGGTCATCACAACATAAGGAGCTGTATGAAAGTGTGACAGCATTAGGAAGGTCTAAAGTATTTCACTAGGGAAATTGTGATATTGTGGAAGTATTGAAAGGTTCAGGAATTCAGCACCTCATGGGTTTCAGGTTATACATTCTGCCTTAATTTGGCTCCTGAAAACCTAAAGGCAACTTCCTCCAGATTCTGTGTAAAGAAACACATTTTTTCAACCCCCATATATATCTTTTCTTGTGATAAATTACATCTTAATTTTCATATATATCTTTTTTGTGATTACATCTTAATTCTCAAATAAATATTTGTGCTTCTTGTTGGAGGGATGTGTAGTAACAAGAAGAGTTTGGTTAAGGTTTTGGTTAGGAGGTAATTTCTAGGAACTTCATCAAAGCTATAGGCATCAAGTAAAAAAAAATGAGACAGGGCTTGTCTATGTAGCCTTGGCTGTCCTACAACTCACTCTGTAGACCAGGCTGGTCTTGAACTCAGAGATCCACCTGTCTCAGCCTCCTGAGTGCTGTGAATAAAGGCGTCCACCACCACTGCCTGGCTAAGTATAAATAATTTTATCAGTGTATGGATTAATACATTATTCCTGATAGAAATAAGTGGCATTATATGTATTCTTCAGCAATCACAAACTTCTCTCCTTTATTGAGTGATTTTTAAAAATAGCTTTGATGTATGAACTAGAAAAATGCAATCTATATACATAGATGCCTGCAGCTCTTGTTGCTAACCCAAGGCTAGCGGGGTGGGTCTGTTCACCTTACCCAGGATGCCCAGGTGCACATCTTCAGCTTCTCTCTTCACCTGCTCTCTGAATGTGCTGTCAGTAAACTGCCGATACACGGCTTTCTTGTACTTTGAGCCTATGTAAAACTCTTCTTTATCCAAAAATGCATTTGAAATACTAAAAAATATAAATCAACGTAGGTTATTTGCTTTCATGAAAGAAAAGAAATTGTCTTAATTTTTGAGTCAAAATTGTTGTGAGAAGTTATGTTCGTTAAATTTATTTTCCATCCCAGTAAGAAAAAAAATAGACTTTAGAAATAGCAAGGTGTCATATAAAGAGAACTGTTTAGTGTGCTGCTTCAGTCCTGGCCCTGATGCTTGCCTAGCTAAGTGGGCCTTTCAATCAATGCTGTCTGTGGAAGCCTTAGTTCCTATGTTCCTAAAGAGAGGCATTGATCAAATCATCTCATCACATTTTTCACTCTAATATGTTATGAAATCCAGATTCAGTCAGGTAGGAATTACTGCAGTATTTTCAGTCAATAGCTAATATAGCACTTTTTTATTTTTATTTTTATTTTATTTATTTATTTATTTATTTATTTATTTATTTATTTATTGGTTTTTCGAGACAGGGTTTCTCTGTGTAGCTTTGGAGCCTATCCTGGCACTCGCTCTGTAGACCAGGCTGGCCTCGAACTCACAGAGATCCGACTGCCTCTGCCTCCAGAGTGCTGGGATTAAAGGGGTGTGCCACCAACGCCCGGCCATTTTTTATAGTCATTTTCTTTCTCTAAAGTTTTAGTTAACTAATGATTTTTTTAACCACTTTAGCCAAATCACAAAACAACCTTTTAGTCCTTTCTATATCAGACCACACTCATCACTGAAACCAAACTATCTGGCTAGCCACTGCTAGCCAGAATGTTTTCCTGTCATCCTGGGCCTACCTGTCCAAGAGTTCACCCTCATCCCTCAGATCATGTGAACATGAGGTCACATGATGAAATGACATGATAGAGCAGACATGCCTGGGAAAATTAAAAAAGGGGGACACCTAGAAGTATCACATGATGTCACATAATGCTGAGACAGATGGTTTTAATGTTCTTGTGGCCATTCATGACTTGAATTTATTCTTACTGTTTGTTTTGTTTTTTAGCTTTTTCAGTGTTGGTGACATAATGGCTTTAAATCTATTTTCCTTTAAGTCTTAGAAGAAAGAACTGCTAAGCATTTAAGAAGTATGCAGTAGAATTAGGAATACATAATGACCGATCATTACGCTAGAAATAAAATCAGGAGGGGGAAATAAGCAACACTGTGACTGTTCTCAGTTTGGTTTGAAGGTGAGTAACAGTCCATCAGAAAAGCAATGATGCCACAGAATCAGAATAGCTCAAGGGAAGTTACCCTGTGAGGATGGATGCCAAGAGAAGTAGAAATGAATAAGCACAGATTCCCAGAAAGTGATCATTGCTATTGTTTAACACAGCTGTTGCTTCTTCTAAGGGTTAGTGTAACTCTTTAATGAAAGGAGACCTAAAATTGCAGCTGAGCACTTTGGGAATGTGAGACCGGAAAGTTACTTTTGTTCTTGCAAACGATGCAGCTCCTTTTCCCAGGCCCTGCTTGGAGAATAGTCCCATTCCACCTCCACTGCTGCAACATAGTAGGTCCTTTCTCCCAGGTAGAAAACAGGATCCTCAGAATGCTGCTTGCACTGGTTCACAGTATATTTTTGCTTCATACCACCTGTGTAGTGATCTGTTGTAAGACACTCTACATCAAAAGTCCCTGGAGTGGCAAAATAGAAAACTTATCAATCAGTATTTTTTGCTCGGTGCTTTTATCTCCCAAACTTACTGAGCATCAGTTATTACCTCAGATCACCAAGCTTCCCACAGCTCTGACCCTCACACCACCCACTGTTCACTTTTCTCCGATGGCAGAAATCTCTTTACTGATACAGTGAATCAAGTGAGGCCAGAAGCAAGTTAGCATATTTTCACGATAGGATTGAAATTCTTTCATCCTTGCTTTAATTTAATTTACCCACTGAGAACCAGGCCCCCAGATGTGTCTGAATGTGAATGGCTACTGTTCTTGTTTAGAATACCTAGTTGCAAGCAGTCAGCAGTCAACTCCACATCGAAACTATAGAGATATGATGAAAGTTTACATGTACAGCACATGCAGGAGTCATTTTCTCTAGCCTGCTTTATCACAGTTATTTTTAAAAGGATTGAAAACGAACCATCCCAGAGATCTGCTGTTTGAAACAGGGAATACACACACACTCTCTCTCTCTCTCTCTCTCTCTCTCTCTCTCTCTCTCTCTCTCTTCTTACTTATCTCCTTCTATTCCACCCACAAACAGGAAGGAGGTGTGTACTTCAATAATAGTGATCCAGTCACTCTCTTAAGAGAAGTTCTATTTGGGAGGCATTGAAAGAGTTTATCACATCATATGTTTTTTTTTTTTTTTTTTTTTAAATAGGATTTTCAGACATGCCAGAAATGTTGAGTTGGGGGAGGAATAGAGGAGAGCAGGATGAGAGATACCATATCAGAGGGAGCCATTATAGGTCCGAGGAGATTTCCAGATACCTACAAAGATGACTCGAACTGACAATCTAGGCAATGCTGGAGAGGATAACCTAAATGCCCTTTCCCTATAATGAGACTGATGACTACTTTTTATGCCATCCTAGAGCCCTCATCCAGTGGCTGATGGAAGCAGAGGCAGACATCCACAGATATACACTGAACTGAACTCTTGAACCTAGTTGCAGAGAGGGAGGAATGAAGGTCGAAGGGGTTGGTACCAGGCTGGTGAAACCCACAGAATCAGCTGACCTAAACAAGTGGGAGCACATGGACCCCAGACCACTATCTGGGAGGGCAGTACAGGACTGATCCAGACCCCTGAACATGGATGTGAATGAGGAGGCCTCCGCACTCTAGGGGGCCCCTGGTAGTGGATTAGTATTTTTCCCTGGTGTAAGAAGGGACTTTGAGAGCCCATCCCATGTGAAGGGATACACTCTTGGCCTGGACACATGGCGGCAGGGCCAGGCCTGGCCCAGGGCGATGTGGTGGACTTTGGGCAGCCCCATCGAGGGTCCTACCCTGCCTGGGGAGTGGTGGGTGGATGGGGTGGGGAACAGGTGGGGGGTTGGGGGAGGGTTGGGGGGAAGGGAGAAGGGATTGACATGTGAAGCAAGCTTGTTCCTAAGTTGAACTAAAAAAAAATAATTACAAAAAAATTAAAAAATAAAATTAAAAATATTACTGTCATGGCTAGTTTTCTGTCAGTCTGACACAAGCTAGGGTCCTCTGAAAGAAAAGAACTTCAATTGAGAAAGTGTCTCATAAGATCCAACTGTAGGGCATTTTCTTAGTGATTGATGGGGGAGGTCACAGCCCATTCTGGGTGGTGCCATCCCTTGGCTTGTGGGTTCTATTAGAAAGCAGGCTGAGCAAGCCATAAGGAGCAAGCCAGTAAGCAACACCCATCCTTGTCCTCTGTATCAGTTCATGCCCTGTTTGAGTTCTTGACCCAATGCCCTTCAATGATGAAAGGTGATACAAAAGTGTAAGACAAATAAACCCTTCCCCCCTCCCCAAGTTGCTTTGGACATGGTGGTCCATCACAACACTCATAACCCTAACTAGAATGCTGACCAATAAGAGAAATGTACCTTCTGTATCAGGCCTCATGAGAAGGGTCAGACTTGTATGAGGGAAGAGGTTTGCAGTGTCCCTTCTTTCTCCTTTGGACAGATAAGTGTTTCCTGAAAAGTATATTCCATGTACATCAGCCTCATTTCCAGCACTGAACAAATACCACACAATGGAATCTCCTAGACACATGTCGAGGCCAGGCTGATTGCCATACATGAATCCATTCACAGCTGCAAACATTGGAGAGGAGGAGGAGAAAAGGGGTTGAAGAAAACATATCCTATTAAATGAAGATTTATTCCTAATGTGACTTCCTAATGTAAGGACACATTCAAGCCTGCTCATTGCTTATGTCAGAAATGTCTTTGCTGTCTCCAGAACAGGGAGTAGGTCTGAGTTCACAGAGCATGAAGTTCTGTGTCCCTACCTCACTGGGGATTTCAGTGTTTTCAGCTGGAATGAGATTTCAGCTGGTTTTCTTACTTCTTTCAAAGGTCATCATTGTGAGCAACTATATCTGTGAATAATAACAGCTTACCCTGGGAGTCACACACTGGGAATGCATTTGTTGTTTTACGTGAAAAATTTCCTGATTCGTCTTGAAAAATGGGAACAATCATGTGTAGGAAAATTTCTCTCACTGCTGTTTCCAAAAGATGGCATTCTTGACATGTCCAAAATGCAAAATGTAGAATTTAAAGTAATTTTGAAAGGATTGTGGATAGTGTGAGTAGAATCTTTCTAGCTTAAAACAAAATCAAAACCAAAACCCAAATAGCAAAAACTATTAATTTGTACTGAAACTTTCTAATTTTTACTTCTACCAACTACAGTAAATGTTTACTGTTCTCTCTGAATGGTATGGGTCTTTGGAACAATTAGCCCACCGTCTCTAAACACTAACCACATATAAATTAGCTAAAACGTAAAAAAGAAATCTGATACCCATCTTCATTTAAATAAAAATGATGCAGGTTTCCTTGGGTCTTTGGAGTTTTAAAGTTGTCAGTTACTTTTGATGAGCGCAAGCATGGGAATTATGATGGAAGAGTTCATATTTTTGAATCATGACGAAAGATTTTATTTTTAGGTCATTGAAAAAACAAAAAGGAGACTGTTATTACTGGGATACAAATGAGAACAGCATCTAATACATTATTCTCAAATTGAGCATGCCATTGGAATCAATTAAGGACTTATTACATACAGATTCCCAGGTCTTCCTGCAATGTTTATAATTCATTAACTTAAAAGTGGGTCCAAGAATTTGCTGTGCTCACAAACTCTTGGGCAAAGCTGATGCTGTTAATCTAGGAACCACAAAGATGCATTCAGGGGCCAGTAAAGATGGCTCAGCTGATAAAGACACTTGTTGCGAAGCCCACCAAACCCGAATTCTGAGAAGAGAAAACTGACCTGTGTATGTTGTCATTTGACCCCCACAGGCACCATGTCATGTGCTCATTATCTCCCTCCCTTCCTCCCTCCTTCCCGCCCTCCCTTCTCCCTTCCTCTCTCCCTCCCTGGTTTTCTTCCTCTCTCCCTTCTCAATAAACAATTTTTTAAAGGCCACATTCATCACATTAGTATGTCTGTTACATCTGTTTTTTTCTGAGGTATTTTTATAACCAAAGATAGGGCCGTCAGAGCACTACTACATTGTTTATTTAAAAGTAATGAAAAATGCTGCTCACTTTGGTTTAATTGGTACTATTACACCTGGGCCGGTGGAGTAGATACAGTACTCACAGTGCATCTTATTAGACTCCTGGAAGTCTTTATCTTCCTTATCCACAGTATCAGGGGCAGTTGTGAACATCCTGATATTATCATCCAAGAGTAAACTCTCATTCTCATCAAACACTGTGGGGAACAAGTAGAACTCCTTGTCTACATCTCTCTGCAAATCAAAACAACAATGAGGTGAAGATGGAATGAGTAAAGCAAAAATATTTCTATATGCATAATACTCTGTGCACAAACCATTTTGAGGAATGGCAACAGACGTTTCTGTTCCCCTTTAAAACTTGGTTCATGATGTATTCCGCTTGGGCACCCAAGTTTTCATTGGTGTCTGTTGAGACTTATGGCTTAGTGTGTAACTTGATGCCTCTGGCATCTAAAATTTCACATTCCCTTCTTCCTTCATACCCACAAATGCCCAAACAAATTGAAACCACTAAAACAGTTTATTAAAATAGATTTAAATTTAGATTTGAAATGTCCCCAAAGCCACAGCTGATGACATTACTGGGCAGTGATAATGGAGACTTTAGGTCAGGCCCAGTTGAAGGGACAAAGTTACTTGGATTGTGCCATTGAATATGGTAGAATGTCTCTCCCTCTCCCTCCTCCTCCACCCCTTCCCTTCCCCTTCCATCCTTCCTTCCCCTATCTCATGCATGCCTTATTGGCTATCATGAGGATGAACAGGTTTCTTTGACCGTATGCATGCATGCATGTGTGTTTGTCTACATCACAAAATTGAATGGAACTATCTGACTGTGACTGAACCTTCTAAAACCAAGAGCCAAAATAGACCCCCACCACACGACCACACACACACTTAAGTTATTTGTCTTGGGTATTTTGTTACAGTGATAAAAAATCTAATGTGGCAATGTCTGTGTGCTGGAATCAGAAAAGAAGCCTTCCACACTCCTGAAACCAGTAAGAACCCCTATAAGCCGCACAGATCATCTTCAGTGAGGAAATGTTGTGGCAATGAGCTGGAAGAAGGATCCACACAGTCTTCAGGCAGATTAAAATAAAAACAAACAAGGAAGTAGAAATACTATTTGGTTTTTGGAATGGTCTAGTCATTAAGAAGACAACCAGTCAATGGAATCAAAGCAAATGATCCCCCAGGGAAGAGAATACTGAAGTTATGTTTGTCTTCCTCTTATGACTCATTCAAGCGGACAACATGATTGTTAAGGTGTAAAAAGACCAACTAAGGTGCAAACATGAAGGTTAGACCCTACAGAAAACTTCATCAATGATGAAGATTGTCTAGGGTGAGTTTCTTGGTGCTGTAGCTATATTTATGTTATTCATGCTTCTGTAAGACACTCCAGTTAAAGCCACTGGTTCACTGAGCTAAACTTGGGTAGGATCACTTCTTTGGTCCACCAATGGCCTATCTGGGATGAACACAGTAGCACAGGATAGCCTCAGATGTCATGCTTATTTGTTTGTTTTATTGAGACATGATTTCTGTGTATCCCTGGCTGTCCTGGAAGTCATTCTGTAAACCAGGCTGGCCTGGAACTCAGAGAGATCCACATGTCTCTGCCTCCCAAGTGTTGGGATTAAAGGCATGTGCCATGATATGTGCCATAAATGTAGTTCTTTTCCCTCAAATACTGGGACTGCAGGCATGTGTTTCCATGCCCAGCTTAGGAGACCCTGTCTTTATAATTTTGTTTGTTTGAAGCAGGGTCTCATATAGCCCAGAATTGCCTCACACTCTAAGTAGATGAGGACAGTCTCGAACTCTTTATTTTTCTGCCTTCACTTCCCAAAGACTTGGACTACAGGTGTGTAGGAGCATGTAACAGGACCCCTTATCTTCAGAGGTGCAACATAAAATACTTTTCAAATCTGAAAAATTATGGGATTATAATGGTAAGTCAAGAGGCTATTATTGCTATTTTTATCACAAAGACTATGCATTCCATTTATAATGCAATTTCTGATTTACTTGAAGTATTTCTACCAGAAAAAAATGTATAATACATTTTAATGCATGAACTTACAATGAAACCCAGAATGATTTCATACTTTTGATCCTCCTGCCTCATCTTACCCTAGTGTTAGGATTATAAGTATGTAATACTATGGCCAACGATAATACAGATCTTAGAAATCTGAGAAAATTTTAAAATAAGACATATGTAAAATCTTCAGCACCTTAAAGCCCAGAATTCTCCTTATAATGATAATTCAAAACAGATTGGGTGTCATTTTTGCTCTCCCCTGCCTGGGCTTACCTGTTTCCCATTTGCAAGTAAGGTGCCTTTCTTGCATATTTTCATTGGCCCAATAAGCCCAGTGAATATATCTTTGGTGGGGTCTACACCAGAATAGTACATCCTAGATAAGCACACAGGATCTGCATAAGTGGGTCCCATTTCTTTGGGGACAGTCCATTCATATATAAAGGTTTCTTTGGGTGCCACATGAGAAGCTGCTTGAGGATGAGGCACACCTACAAAAAAGGTCACAGCAGAAAGGTTACATTTATGTTTTTTAATGTGACTATGGAGCCACCCAGTAGGCTAAGTTTAGTAATACACTTCTAAGTTCCTTGGTCCCAATCAGAATATAATCTCCTTTGTGCTTCCCTGTCAGGTTTGACAGACCGGTGTGATAAACTCAGGAATCCCCTAACCCTGCTCCAAACCTTTATCTAGGATTGATGCCCCTTTTTGTGCTCAAAGAGGGGATATGTGCATTTCCTCTCAAGAAGAACTAATGATGAAAGTCACCTCTTGTATCCTATCAGCTACAACACTGCCTGGCAGTAGGAGGTAATCAGTCTATTTTCTGTTGACCAAACTGAACAGAAAGTAATTGTAGAATTGAAAGGAACTTAGTCTGTGAGCCTTTGCAAATTATCTAAATTTTCCACTTGAAACTGAAGCCAGAAAGCCTCAATAAGCTGCCTATAGTCACATTACAATTGGTGGCAAAATCATGAGATTTCATTGGTAAGCCTCAATAAAAAAGTTAGAATATATCTACATTATTGAATATTTTATATCACTAAAATTATATTAATAAATTCTTATTATGTTAAGATAATAAACATCACAAAACTATAATGCCAGGTATATTTGTATACTAGGAACTCAACCATATTTAATGTATGTTATATATACACACATAAAAGCAGGAGGATTGCATATATATGTGGGGGGTATATGATTGTTATGGAATTGTGGATTGCTAATATTTTGGGTTATAGATTTCTGTATTTTTCAAATATTCAAAAGTGAGCTTCTAACTTTAACATTGCAAGAACTTAAAAAAAGATCCACCTTAGTTGGGGTCATCCTTGTGGATCTCTGGACATTTCTCTAGTGCCAGATTTCTCTTTAAACCTATAATGGTTCCCTCTATTAAGGTATCTCTTTTCTTGTTCTCCTCTATTCTTCCCTGATTTAGTCTTCCTGATCCCTCATGTTTTCCTCCCCCTCTCTCCTTCTCCCCTTCTCTTTTTCCTACACCCACCCCCATGCACCCAATTGTCCCTTTCCCCTTCTTCGGGGGGACCATTATGTCTCTCTTAAGGTCCTCCTTCCCTAGCTTCTCAGATGATGTGACAGACTTGATGATCCCCCTTTGAAGCCTCACCCTCCCTGGGGAATGGATTGGGGGTGGGATGAGGGGTCAGTGGGGGGGTTGGGAGGATGGGAGGGAGAGGGAACTGGGATTGATAACAATCAAATCCACCTAGTAGTATTTCAGAATTGTAAAATTAATACAGCCCAACTAAATTCTTATTAGGATGGTCAGTAGTTATTCAGTTAAGGCAGAACAAGATTCTATAAACCAGTTGGCAAGCATTATTTGCATTTGCATAATTCTTAAAAGGAACATGGTCAGTATTTGGCATTCAGCTTACTCAGGGCTGAATTACCTACTCACCTCCCTTTAGGGAGTGGGCAGTGGGGGTATAGTATGTCCCCTCATTTTCCGCAGTGAATCTCACCCCCGTTGGCTGAATGCTGAGAGGGTATGGTCCTTTGTTATGAAAGGTGACTTTAATGATGTCTCCTACTTCTGCCCAAATGACAGGACCTAGGAACAAAGATAGTATTTTGTTGTGTGACAAATAGAAAGTGCAAAACAGTTATTGGCTTTAGCTGAGCCCTCTGACAGGCATTCCAGGATCAAGGTGCAGATGTGTAGCAAGTTGGAAAACCTGGTGTTTAAAAAATCCATTGTAGCTACAATGTGGCAAATTTGGAAAAATGCAAAATTCTTTTAATCAAACTAGAGGAAGATTAATAATTTGTTTATTATCTTTCTTCAAGTCAGTAAAATTTGTACATCACAAAAACTAATTCATAGTGTCTATACACCTACAAAAATCTGGAATATCTACACATTTATAGATATAGCTATATAGTATACAAATGTTTAATATAGTATTCATAATGACATTTATTGAGTGAATTTGAATCTTATCCCTGCTTCTAAATGTTTATGTCTAATATCTCATCTAAACCTTACTAAAGTTTCTTGTAGTAGTAACCATAATTATCTTCACATCATAAACAAATCAGGCACAGAAAATTAAGTCATTTTCACTAGTCATCCAGCTTGTAGATAAAGAGGAAGACTATCTCTTGCTGTGTTCACCAGTTATGAGATTACTTGGTGCTCATTGGTAACAGCCTCTAGCACAGACCCAGCCTAGGTCATCAGTAAGCCCACATTTGGTTTTTGAGAAAGAACACTTTGGCTAAGTCAGTTATTTAAATGTCACACACTTTCCCTTATCTTTTCACAATGTAGCAAAGATTTGTGGCTGATAATTTACTTTTGACAAAGTAACCAGCTGCTGTGTGTCAAGTGGTAACTGATCTCCTGTGTGCCTGGATTTTATCTAAAACATCGTGCTGCAGGTCCTGACACTTTTCTCTCTGAGGCTGGGACAATCAAGAAGAAAAGCCTGGTGTAAAGAAGATTCCAGCCTGGTGTGCTCTGCTTGGCCTTACCCAGGATTCCAAGGTGTTGCTCATCAGGGCCTCTCTGTTTCCGTTTTGTGAAGGAGTCATCTGTATACTCACGATAAACAATTTTTTTATAAGAGCCACCAATTCTCATAGCACCTTGTTCAAAAAATACCTTTGAATCACTGACAAAAAGAAAAAGGGATTAATTGGGTGTGGAGATAGAACAGAAGTGGCTATTTACATAGAATCCTAACTGAAGAAGGAGAGTCTGTACAATGCTTAGCACTGCATTGCACCTGTGAGTGACAGTCCACACGAATTTCACTGAAGAGGCACACAGACCTAGGCCACTCTTGTGTGATGAAGAAGAAAATCAAGGAAGAAGTTGTATTGTAAAGTTAAGTGAAAGCAAATTTCAATATGGCTATGTCACCCCTGTTCTGCGACAGACCCTTTTCACCCCACTGTACAGCAGCTGTCCTTTGTTAGGTATGAGCATCAGCTCATACTTGCCTTTACTTGCCAGAAGTCACATGGTAATGCAGGGAGGTTGCTAGTTTTTTCCCATTTACAAGCAAAGCAATTCCATCTCAGAAAGTGATAGGATTTTCACAAAGCCACCCTGTTGGTATTCAGGCATCTATACTGGCCTACTCTTGGGGTTCTAACAGGGTACACCCTCAGCTGCAGCTACTAAGAGCACCACCTGTGCACATTCTCTGCCTTTCCTCCTTTGATGCTCCTGTCCCCAGAGAACAGTCTACTCCCTCCCCTTCCCCCTTTTTAAGATCTCTTTCCCCTAATAAAAAACACCTCCATGTGAACTCTGTCTCATGGTGTTTTTTTTTTCTTTTTAATTACAACATGCCCCTTTATCTCTTCTTTTGTTTGACAAATGGGTTAGCACCAGATTTTTGCCAGGATTCCTGTACTATGTTGATGAGATAATGACAGGCAAGCATAATTACTCATACACACTGATCACACATCTATTAGAGGAGATCAAGCTCTGATTATACAAGCTGATTGCATATAGTCCAAGAAGCAGAGTGTTGTGGAACATTTCTCCTAAGGAAAGCAGCCAAGGCCACAGTATAGAAGCCATTAGAAGTGATGCTCTCAAGGTGATGTGTGGATGGTGGGAAGGGCTAGAAGATTAAAGGATGCTCGGAGTACAACCCAAGAGAGAGCCCATGCCAGGACCCTCTTTTTAAGGGATCACCTGCACACACCAAAGCCACGCCCTAAGGCCATTACCTCAAGTCTGTTGTCAGAACAAGATGCCACTACATGCAGGAGGTACAAAAAAGCAAGAGTAAGTATGTAATGAGTACGCCATGCTCTACTCTGATATTTGTTTATGCTGTAACAAATAAAGCTTGCTTGAAAATCAGAGTGGAGGTAGCCACTAGTTAATGATAGCGGCTAAGCATTGGTAGCACACGCCTTTGATCCCAGCACTTGGCATCTCATGCCTTTGATCCCAGCACTTGGGAGGCACATGCCTTTAATCCCAGCACTTGGGAGGCACATGCCTTTAATCCCAGCACTTGGGAGGCACATGCCTTTAATCCAAGCACTACGGAGGTGGAGATAGGACTAAAAGGTGGGTGGAGACATGTTCTCTCATCCATTCAGTCTGAGGATTCCTAGAGACGGGAGCTGAGCCCCATTGATCTGAGGATACAATATAGGTAAGAAGTCTCTCTAGTGGCTGGCTCCTTTATTTCTCTGATCTTTCAATAAGACCAATTAGATTTATGCTTCACTCCACAGCAAGGATCCTTAAGCCTTCCTACTCTAACCTCCCTTTTGCCTGAGAAATTTTTACAAGACCCTGAGTACAGAGATATATAAAATAGGTTTACAAATATATTGAAGATAAGAAACCATAAATTTATTTGAAGACAATTTTTAAAATGTACATAAATTTACCTCATTTAAAATGAAATAAATTTGCATACTAATGAGATGGCTGTGCTTGTTTATCCTCACAAAAAGAATTAAGTGTTGGCTGGATATCTAATACTGCAGAACACAATGTCTTCAACATTTTTTAGAGCAGATCAATATTTTGGTTTTCTAATTGTAAGTATGGAAAGTATAGAGTACAAAGTACAAAGTAGTACAAGTAAGTTTAAGATCATTTCAGAAACTGTTGGACATTCTGCTTTAACTCCAGGCAAAGATTCATTTAAAAAAAAAAAGATTCATTTAACAATTTTATGTGTGTGGGAAACTCAGTCAGCAACTCAAACAACTTTTTTGTTTTGCTTTGTTTTGTTTGTTTTTTTGAGACGGGGTTTCTCTGGAACTCCCTTTGTAGACCAGGCTGGTCTCAAACTTGAACTCACAGAGATCTGCCTGCCTCTGCCTCCTGGGTGCTAGTATTAAAGGTTGTGCCACCAGTACCCAGCTCAAATGGCAATTTTTAAAATCAAACCTTGTGACAAAAACAGTCCAAAGATATACCAGTTTGTACTTGCATGCTGAGTGACAGAGGAAAACAGTGAGATTCTGTTTGCTGTACGTCAACCATTATGTTTGCATAAGAACAGAAAACTCTGAATATACAATAACAGTACCATAATTCATAACATACAGCAAGTATTCCAGGCAGCTGAGTTGACAGTGGCATGCAAAGAGCAAAGTGTGCATGTTGTGTGTTTGGATCCAAGGCCACAGAGAAATCATGTGACAGAACACAGGAAAGTACTCCCTAGAACACCTAGTATTCATGATACTTTAGGTTTTTAATTAATTTTTGGTTTTTGTATATTCAAAAAACTTCTACTGTTGACAAAATACTTCTGATCTTCATATTCGTCTGTGTAGTCTCATGTGGGGTAGCAACCCACAGTTGATGAGACAGGCCCATAAATCACAGCAGAAGCAGAGAATATAGGGCAGAAGAATAAGGAATGATGCATGGAGAGATAGAAGTGGACAAGAAGACCTGGCTAAAGTTTGGGTATTCCATTCCATGGCAATAATGGATAATTTAAGATGTCATGATGAGTGTTTTAGGAGGAGCTCTGGAAAAGATGCTTAGAGAAAAAGTTATGAAATCAAATACTATAGGAGGAAGGCCAGTCAGAAACAGCTTTTATAACTTCAGTGAAAGACAATGAGGTGTTTTGTGGTATTAGCAAAGAAGATGAAGGGAAGCAGGTAGCTTTCAGAGAATTGTACTTGCTGAGGAGAGTAGGAGGCATTGATGAAGGAAAGTGAGTTTTGACAGTTCTCAGGTTCTGGATTCCCAGCACCTGGGTAAGTATGATGGGGTAAGATGGTGAAGCTGTCTGTTGAGTGAAGAGGAAACTGTTTTGTACAGTGAATTCAGGTTGTACATGCCTCATCCAAGTGGGGGTGTCATTAAGAAAATGGAAATATAAATCTGAAATTTGTAGGACTCTTGGAGGTTGGAGATGCAGCTTTGGGTGTTGTCATGTGGGTGTCAGTATAGCCTGGGACCTAAGTCTGTGCTTTAGGAGATACAGACCTGGGCACAGCCAGCCAGCTCTCCAACACTAGTAACACAGAATACTTTCTCAAACTTTCAAAAGTGGGAACTGTTTTTTAGAGATGGGTCACAGACAGAGATTCTGTGAAACAGTGATGTCTATGAAACTGTTAGTTTATGCTAAGGCTCACTGACAATACAATCTGTGTGTAGACATGGGTTAATGGCATAATCTTGTAGACATTAAAAAATGAACACTTTTATTTATTTTGTGTATATGTGTCCATATGTGCTGTGGTGTGTATATACAGGTCAGAGGACAGCGTTCAAGAGTCAGTTGTCTCTTGTGGGCCCTAGGGATGGAAATTGGTTTACTAGGCTGGGCAGAAAGCATCTTTACCCACTGAATCATCTGAATGGTGCCCACTGACTTTTGAGATATTGCCTTCTCTACTTTGTGGAAAGTTGCAGATAGAAAAGGAAGACTAAGAAAGGAAGAATACATCAGCTTATGAAATTCATCCAGACGCATACAAAGAGTAACCTGTGTGCATCAGAGGACACCATTCAGAGGGTGAAAGATTACATAACAGATGAAAAAACTCGGTTGAGTATCTGATGAAGGACTAATATTCAGGCTATATAATACTCCATATATATATATATATATATGTATCTCAAGTCAAAACAGGGCAAAGGACATAGATGGACATTTCTCTGAAGAAAATATATGTATGGCCAGGAAGCCTTGCATAGACATTTAATATCATTATTCATAAAGGAAAGGGTCTTGGTAGGGAGCTACCTTTCCGGGGCTGTTAAGTTGTCTCCAGTGAAGATATCTGTGCCAGAAGGAGCATAGTTCCAGATGATCTCTTCAGCAGCAATGTAATAGTGTCTCACATGTTTTGCCTGGGTATCAGCCTCTGGTGAGGGCTTGTTACAGTCTCGAACTTGGAAAAAGGCTTGCAAACCGGCTGAAACACCAAAGAGAAGGCTCTGATGAGTTGTGGCAATTTCTGATGAGATGAGAGGTAAAAATTGAATCCATTGGTAGAGATAATGCAATAAAGCACAGCAAACAGCTATGAACAGACTACCAATGAAAAATTTAAGTTTTTAAACAGACACGAATCTTTTAATGAATATGACAGAAAAGAGACATTAAGCATGTGAGTTTTCAATGTAAGATACCCAGTTTTCATGGGATCCCTCTCAAGACACTAGTGAGTCAATGTCACATAACCATTAAAACTTTCATTGAACAAGCCTTTTATTTTGAGGGGGTTGGCTGTTTTAAAATAAAAGTCTAATTTCCTTGGGAAATAAATTCCATAAGTAGGTTTTAAGAACTAAGAGTGTTCTTATAACTTGTGTTACGGAAACGGTAATGATATTTGCAAGTTAAGACAAAGGACAGATGCAACACATTATTAAGAAACTTGGTTTTACTTGACACAAGTAAAAAAACAAGCTACTTTCCAGCATAAAGTATAAATCTGTTTTTGTAGAACTCTATTTTTACATTGAGAAATGACAAGTGATACTATATTTTCATGGCAGAAGCCATTGCTGTATTCCAGAAATTAATATTGTTTTCAGATTTCATTATTTTATAAACATTCCAACCTTACCTCTTCTTATTACATTATGATGTAAACATTATGGAGAAAAAACTAAGGTAATAATTCAATGTTCAGATTACTTAATTAGCTGTTTGATTCTGCTTTTCCTCAACCATCTCCCACTAGTAGAGTAACCAATACACAGCTTCTTTTACAACTGACAGTTAACTAGAGGTGAAGATGATTACCTTTCAAGTGGTTTAGGTTCTGACAACTGAGCATCCAGACTCCAGGATTCTGGGCCACCATAAAACCATCAAACAGGGTGGCAGAGAACAGGTTGACTGTATCAGTACGGTAGTTCCTGCTGGTCAGTGCTTGACCGTGAAAGGAAGCTGCATGCACATCAATTTCATTACCCATACCAAAAAGATACCATTTCACTCTGTCTTCTGCACACATGGAGAGTCCTGGAAGGCTTCCAAATGTATATCCATTCATAGCTGCAAGTTAAGATTAGAGTTTTTGCCAAATAGACATTGGTCATTGGGATACTGATAGTTAGCTCTACAGAAACAGAATCAATTTAGTATAGAAAATATCTGCCACACTTTCAGTTACCCCACCCCATATCCATGCCAGACATTGCTAGTCAATCACATATTCTTTCATTTTGGGACCTTAGTTTATGCTAAGTTTCACTGCCAATATAATATTGAAGATGAATGAAACATTAGAAATAAAAACTTACTTGGTCTCTGATGTTTATAAACTATTTACATTGATTTTTTTGTGTGTGGCATATTTAAATATAGATGCATCCATATATATTAAGAGAACACTCAGTTAAAGGTAAAATATTGAAGGTTATTTAATAATCAGTTATTAACTGTACTTGTAGGCAAAAGCAGATGATTTATATTTCTTCTTTTTGCTTAGTATTGTTTTGGATTTAATGAATTTCTTTTGCAATAACAGCACCAAGTAAAAATGTTCCTAAGATTGAAAGACACAATTAAAAGAGATTTTAAGAAAGAGGAAATGCAGGAAATGAGAACAGGGACCAAAGCCAGGAAGACCTGAAAGGTCAAAAAGCAGTATGGCCTGAGACCCTTGGAAAAAACTGAAGGTCATTGTACAAATTGGGCAGTCCTAGGAAATCCATGGGTAGAAACACTAATGTTAAGGACAATTAATTTACCAGATGTGACCATGGCACCAAACTATATTCATCCAGACTAGAAATTGGGCAATAGTTTTTTAAAGTCTGTTTTTGTTAGCAGGATAACAAAGAGAAGGTAAAATGTACAGGAAGGAGACAGTTAAGTCAGAGGAAAACAAAACAATATCTTTCGGATAGAAGAAAGCTGGAAATAAATTCATTTTCTCGTTTGGAAGTGCAGTTACTGTTTTCTTACTTTTCAAGTGAAGATCATTTTAAAGAAGCTAAATGTAAATAAAACCTATATTTTCGGTATAATTAATGTTAAGGTATTTACTTAATTTACCATGTAAATTCTGAGGGCTAGATAACTTAATTTCATTATTTATGTCCCTGGAATTAAGGAAAAGCTTGGGCTGTCAAGAAGCCATTTCTAGGAGACACAAAGTGAACTAAAATATTTAAATGATATAGAATAGTGGTCTTGTTGGGGGCAATGTAGTACATAAAAGGGATACTTTTTAGAATTAGTGGTCTGAGTTATTTTATTAAACATAGTTGGATGATTTATAGTGTAAATATAATTTTAAATATTTACTTCAATAGTCCTAATTGGATCCTTCAAATAACTTATAGAATGAGATTGGAGGATAAACATGTATGTCTGTAGGTCCTTAACTTGTAATTGATGTGGGAAGGTCCAGTTCATTGTAGGTGGTACTACCTCTGAACTGGTGGTCCCAAGTGCTAAACAAAAAGCAGGCTCTGCAAGCCAGGGGAAGCAAGTCAGTAAGCAGCACTCTCCATGGCTTCTGCATCATCTCTGACCTCCAGGTTCATGTCCTGTTTGAGTTCCTGTCCTGACTGCCTTCAATGATGGACAGCAATGTGAAAGTGTAAGCCAAATCAACCCTATCTTGTCAAACTTGCCCTTGGTCATAGTGTTTCATCACAGCAATAGCAACTCTAACTAGGACAGACAGATATCAAATTGCATGTCCAATGTGCTTTTGTTATTAGAGCCTCTGGGTAGGAGTGTGAAAGAATACTCTTGGCAGAATTATTGAAACAAAACTGTCATATCTTTTGCAATCTTACAGTACATCCTGTTGCTCTCCTGGAAGTCTTCATCATCTTTGTCAACTTTCTCTGGTTCAGAGCAGAAGGCTTTGATGTTATCTTCTAGATACCAGCTGAGATTTTCATCCACCACAGAGAACATTACTACAAATTCTTGGTCAATATTTTTTTCTTTTTCCTTATCTAGAGAATCTGAAGCAGAAATTTGTTAGTTTAGTATATCTGAATTTTCTGCATGTGATTCAACACGTTTTTTAGGTGATTAGAGTTCCTTTTCTAAATTTAGTGTTCATTGTCTTAATAAACCACAGATCTGGACACGCTGCTCCACTTTGTGGAAACACTCAGGAAAGCTCACATCCTGTGCACTGCATGCTTATGTATCTATACATCTACTGACAAAATCATTAAATTTTGGCAACTGAGAAGTTTATAATTCAGATACATCCATATCTTCTTGAACACACATATAGCCACAAGCCAACATGAGAAGGTTTTTACATTTCAATCTCTTGAGTTATGCTGTCTTCATGAGGTGAGGAATAAATGTACTATTATTATACTTACCAATATAATAAAGGTAATTACAGCTATTGCTAGGGAGTGCCACTGAGGTGGTCACACACATAGTAAAGTCATGTATCTCCATGTAACACCATTGTTGGAAGTTACACCCAGCAAACCTATCCTACAGAGAACTGATATCAAGCATCTTAGCTTCATTGGCATTTTCCTTTGAAGGTTTGTTCCATTTTTTCAGGCCATCAATGCCAATCCTGTGCTTTACTTCCTTCTTCTTTTTTTTTTTACCCTTACCATTTATCTATTTAACTGCAACATAGAATAAATTATAGCTTAAAAAAACTAATTGAAAAAAGAAAATAAACTGCCTTGAACCTGTCTCTCATATTGTGAGCAGTGAAAAAACACACCTTTTTTACAGAGTATTAAAGGTCCTATGAGTCCTGATGCAATATCTTTTGGAGCGTCAACATGGGAGTGGTAAATCCTGGTCACACAATTGCTGTCTCCGTCAACAGGACTTTGCTCACTGGCATGTAGCACATACAAATATTTTTCTCCAGGAAGCACTTTGTCATCTGCTTTTTGAAAATCTGTGGTATTGTCAGGGTAGACAGCCCCTGGAGAGCAGCATGTAATGGAGATGGAAAGTTAGTACATATGAACATAGTTGAAGGGATTGCCAGTCCTTAACAACTAGTGGGTAACCTTTGGACATTCAGTAATGTGAATTTGAACACACAGAAAAAAGAAACAAGAGGTTAGTATCTAGGGATCCCATAATCTTCACAGAAATAATTATTATTAATTTGGTAATTGATTGAGTCATACATAGTAGATATTCAAGAGACTGCAACTTTTAAAATTTAAGGGAAAGCTTTCACCTGGGGGGGGTCATGGTATAAAGAGTAAGCAAAAAAATCCTCTCAAATAAATGAAACTTCTTATATAATATCTGATTTGTGTGCATATGTATAGAAATTACACAGTGCAAAAAATTTACACTTAACTTTAGAAATTTTCAAACATGTGCAAGTTGAAATAAACTTCTATCTTGCCCTAAGTGTTAATGGATTTCAGTGTACCTATAAACCCAGATTTAACAATGATAAACCGAAAGCCATTCTTTTTTTCCCATAACCCCACTCAACTTTATCTTTACCCATATGAAATTATTTCAAAGCAAATTCTAGATACATTCAGTTTATGAATATCTGAGCATGTATCTATAGAAAATAAGAACTTTTCTTCTTAACAAACACAAGCTTACTACTATCACTTGAAAGTCAGCATTAACTCTAATATACCATGGTGCTGTAAAAAATAAAAAGCATAATAGCCAATTGTTATATTATCAGTAGAACCATTTGGTTCAGATAGAAACATAAAAGAGATGGTGTGATTTGGAACTCTGTCCTCTCGTCATGACATGCCCTTGCAATTTTGCAATCAGAGCAGCTGTGGTTACCCACAGGAGACTCTCACAAGATTGAGTCCAGAGAGTGAAGGCTCATGAGGTACCTCAGGAAGCAGTGTTCATAGCAGCCCTGTCTTCCCCTAGGACATTACATGGTGCTCTTCTTTAGTATCACTGCCTGTGCATTGCCAGGCTCCTGCAAGTAAACCCAGTTCAACTCACTGGCTCATCATGCAAGACTTAGGTAGCATCATTTCTTTAGTGCCCCGTCTGGGCTAGATACTCAAAAGTTGATGTCTCTTCAGGAAAAGACACACAACATCAAACATTCACTTTCTAAAAATTCACCTCTTTAAAATTTTAATTTATTTTACACTTATTCCTTGTGTGTGTGTGTGTGTGTGTGTGTGTGTGTGTGTGTGTGTGTGTGTGTGTGTTGTGTGTGTGTCTGTCGGCACACACACACATATTGTGGTGCATGTGTAGAGGTGAGCTGATAACCTGGGGGAGCTAGTGTTCCAGTGTTCTCCACATGAGTTCCAGGGACTGAACACAGGTTCTCAGGCTGTGTGGCCGGTGTATGAGATTATTCAGGCCACCTTAGCTGGGCTGCAGTTTATAGGAGGTCAGGATGGAAGCTGATAGCAGCCACAGCATGATCACTGGAAGAATTCCAAAGATAAGACAGCCTCCTCCCTGAATCCTTCTCTTCCCTCTGGCTTCATGCCTCTTCTAAGCTGTCCACTTCTCATATTCTTCTTCTATTAGATGGGGAGGGGTAATTAAGTACCGGTGGTCCACTGTCAGTACCCAGGGCATTTCTGCACATATGTCACTCCCACTACAGAAAGTCACATAACTAGAAGAAACAAAGCGCTTATTATGATGAGTTCAAATCCCATTATAAAATAGGTTGGTGTTAAAAGTATGGTTACGGGTTCTGCCTAACGATACCAATTTTAGAAGTTAAAAGGTTTTCCTGCTGAAGAGGAAACTATAACTACATTGCACACTGCACTTACCCTCATTCTCCTTGTAGTAAGTTACCCCATGTGAATGAAAAGTGTAGGGCCTAGAGGCAAAGTTCTTTAAGTGAACATAAACTTTATCACCAGCTTCAGCTTTGATAATAGGGCCTAGGAACCCTAGCCAGACTGGTTTGTCTATAGTCTTCCTAAAGGTGTCATCTGTGTACAGAACATAAAGGGCCTTCTTGTATGCTCTTCCAATACGATCTGGGCCATTTTGAAGATACAGATTGGACTGTTCCCTGCAAAGGAAAAGACACTTTCATCAGAAGCTTTCATTTAGGGGAATCAATGATTACATCAACAATCAGCCTTTGCCTGTTGTATAAACACCTCCAAAGATGAAGAGGGGAGCTGTCGGTTGTCTCTATTTTAAGACATGAGATGTTTCTTATCAGAAGCACGGTAGAGAAATACTTGTGAGGACCTTGCAAAACCATGGTGCCAAAAACAAAACAAAATAAAAATGAGTGGAACTAAATTAATTTTGTCTTTTAAATTATTGATTTGAGTATGTTGCGTATGTGTGTATGTTGTGTGTGTGTGTGTGCATGCGTGCACGCACTCGAACAGGCGTTTGTGCACACCCACCTGTGGAATGTTTGTGGAAACCAGAGATCTATGTTAGGACCTTCCTCCATTACTTTCCACTTTAGCTTTGGAGACAACGTCTCTCACTGAAGTGGAACTCCCCATTTCAGCTGGCCCGTGAGCTTCCCAACACCTACTTCCAGAAGCTGTCTCTCTCTGGTCATGTGATTCATTTTACCCAGCTGTGCCCTGTTTTACCTGGGTGTTAGGGATCAGAAGGCTTGTACAGCAAGTACATTACCCATTGGGCCTTCTCCATAGTCCAATCTATCATTTTCATTTCTTTTAGGAGTCCTAGAAGTATTATGTAATCTGTAAGAATTTGAAAATTACCTTTACATTTAAATTACCACTTGTATTTTTTAATCCTTGACTACCATAGATACTTCATATTGAATGCTTGCATTCTGATTAATGCCAAATAATAATTTGAAAATTCTCCTAAATATATCAACATAATAAATAGAACTAGGAAGGGAGAAAAAAAGAAACTTGGGGGGAGTATATTTGATATTTACACCTAAATTGGTTCTTACATACTGAACTCACAAAGTTAGTTTTCAGTGGGATCTAGTTGTGAAGAGTGCCATGCAACCATTTGGAAGGACTCAACTAAATCCTGGTGTTAGCAAAGTCTTCTGCAACCAAGGTCTTGCATTTGTACTATGTATGTGAGCTGTCTGTTATAGCCCATCAGTTTTCATTTACCACTCTCCACTTAACCATCCCAGAGCAGGATAACCTGACTGAAAAGTAAATTTTGTCATGGTCCCTGGGCTGAGAGCTCCTCAGCAAGGTTCAGATACATTTGTTTTCTTCTCGTGTTCAAGACAAAGATGGAGCTGGTTAGGGGCTCTTGAATTGCTACAGAAGTTGAAAACATGATTTTCAAAAGTCTAGGGTTCTAGCCTCATGTTTTCTAAATGTTAACCTTAATAATTATCTCCTAATGCACTAGGTAATGCACAAATAAATTCATGGCTTCAGTTTGATGATTCTGACTGGGGGCAGAGGGGAGTGGAGCACAGGCCCCTTAATTTTTTTTAACCAGGAGACTGATGTATTCTGGTGCAGGCAGCCACCTTGGGCTTGTGGGAACCTGTGAAGTAGGTGATGAGAGCAGCCAGTGCAGAGGTGGTGGGGTTCCTTGATATTGAGACAGAAACATGGAAGCTTCTGTTTTCAGCTGGTACCATGGTGGTGCCAGATCTCTGTATGTGGTAGCTGTATAGACAAAACCTGACTACTTTGGTCAGGGAGCACCACCATTTGGCAGAGATCCTGGGGCTGGATTTGAGAAGAGGGAGTATGAATAAGTAGTAAAGGAGCCACATTTTCCTGGATTGACTAAGAGTGACAGTCTCAGAGACACACATATGTTGACAACTGATTGCATAAAAACGAGGACTCTCAAAGGAAGCAGAATTATATACTGAAAGATGATGGAGATGGTATTTCTTGCTCCTTCAAACCCATCTTGGCGTGATGGTTATACTGGAAGTAAGAAAAGTAAAGCAGTTAAAAACACACCAATTGTGGAACAGTAAAATGCTACTAAAAATATTTGCTGTGCTGTGTCCTGCTTGTATTACCTTATAATTGTTATGTGCGTCCCATTATGTTAAAGCAAAGCAGAAGAAAAAAAAATGGGGGCATCTTGGAGACTTCAAGAAATACATGAATACAGATCAGAACACTGGGGTGAACTCTGCCCCAAACCCATAGAATTAGTGTGGACATAAGGCATTTTATTGCTCATTTCTTAAATAGGATGTGCTCTGTCTTAGCTTTGTGATTAATTTTTTCTAGACAAAGGTTTTTAGGGGATGGTGTATTCATGAAAATGACCTTCAAAATAAAAATTGACCTGAAGCTAAAATATGCTCAAAGATTTTACATAATTATATCTCCAATTGGTTCTTCCATTGGCCTGGTCATTGTGAGAAATTTCCCTTGCCAAATTGAGAAATATCTAACTTCAGGGAAGTCTGCTTATGAAGCTGTCCTCCAAAGGAACGTCAGGGGGCCACTCGTGGCTTGGGGACAAAGGGTCGGTCACCTACTGGAAGCCTCTGGGAACAGTGCCAGTCAGATGTTCAACCACAGAGTCTACTACATTTGGTCTTTAATTCAAACAAATTATTCACACTTATTTTCAGTCCTTCTTGTTGGCAACTGTAGTCCTTTCTACTCATTATAGAAAACAGGTTTCCCTCCCAGCAACCATACTTCCTATTTCAGGCCCCTTTTTCATTTTTAAAGAAAAAAAAAGCCTACTTCTATAATTTCTGGTAAACTGAGAATTAGAATTGAGTTTTTAATAACAAATAATTAGTTAATAATACTGTTCCACTGAATTCAATGAAGCGCTTTTGTTCTATTCTTACCTTGGATCTCTCAATTATAGAAGAGTTTTGACTTCAGTTGTTGAAATGCTTCATTAGATTTTCATAACAAATCATCACACAGTCACATGAAGTAATATCTACTTATAACTCACAGTTGGATGAGTCATAGTCTGAGAGCTCATGGCTGTGTTCCCTGACCTGGACATTACAGCACTGAAATCAAGGGGATGCCAGACTGAGCACTCTCCTGAAGACTTGTGGAAAAATCCACTTCCTGAATCAGCCAAGTTGTAGGCACAATTCAGTGTCTTTAGTCTGTAGAATTCAAATTACTGTTTGCTTGTGGCTGATGTCTGGGGGCCTCTCCCATGTCTTTAAGCCTGCTCATATGCTCCTCAAGTAATTCTTCCAACTTCCAGTCAGAAATTTCCCTTCATCTCTGCAGCTTCTAATGTTCTCTCTAGCCCCTAAAAGCCCATAACAAAGCCTTTCCAACCCCACCTGGGCTAGCGATGTTGTTGATTAAAATGCTAATCCTGTATGTGATGTAGACTGTAGAGGTTATGACAGGAAATCTTTTGCAAGACACTTCAGAAATATTGCCGTTAACACACAGAAATCACAGAAAAATGGTCTATTCACAGGCATTTCATTCCCCCAGGGGCATATAGCACAAGTCTCAGTGAATTATACATCAAAAATAGTTAAGCTTTACAAGCACGGCAGGAATACAATGCTAACCAATCTTCTTAGTCAGGAGAAATGAAAATATATAACAATTATAGCAATTAAGCAGGCCATGAGTGGAGAGAGATCAAATGAGAGCAGGAAAGGAAGAGAAGAGAGTTAAGAAGGCAGAGTCCAAGAGTGAGCCAAGAGAACCAAGAGACAGGGCTGAAATGGCTGGGTTTTATGGGAAATAGAAGTTGGGGGAAGGGAAGTCTCTGGGATGAAGAGGTTTAGGGTATGAGGCAGAGATGAGAAGAGCGGAGAGGAGTCACAGGTACTGAGAGAGCCTATAGCCCTGCTTTGTGTTTTGGCATGCTAATAGACAGCAGAGTTAGTCATTTATCCTAGGATTCTTTGGGACCTGACACTAACCATGTAGTCCTTTACTTTTTCAAAATTATTTTTTGAGAGAGTGCTAAAGTAATTAATTGGCAAGCCACTCAGTTGAGTCAGGCCTAGCAACTTGGGTGCCCATATAAGTAAACCAAAAAAAATAATTCAATGTAAAAGGTGTGTCCATTTTGCCACTGAAGCCTCCTGCAGACCAGCTGCCATGTTAGGAAAGAATGTATTGGTTGCTGAGAAGTTCCAGCTCAGCTTTCTCTCCAAGGATGTTTGATCCTTCCATAGGGAAATCATTAGATACCCATTTGTGCCCAGAGCTACCGAGAACTCTAATAAAGTCTCGGGGAAGTTGTGGTGCAGACATGGAAAGAGACAGACAGGATGTAGAAGAAATCCAATAAGCTGATCCCCCCTACGGGGTGGCACAAAATTGTTTACTGTGACCCGGCTCTCTTTCTAGTCTTTCTTTAAATAGAATTTCACAAGCTTATTCTAGGCCAAGAAGATTCTTCTTGCTATTCAGAAAGAAAAATTTAAAGTCTCTTCATTCTACATTGGGGTTACATTCCTTTTATCCCCCCACTAATTGTGTTTTTCTTTTTATTGTTTTACCTTCCAAGTATTACATTTAAATATTTCATTTTTTCCTTCTTAGGAACCACAAAGAAAAATTATATAAATGTGGTATTTTTCTTATTTCATAAGCCATATAGTATATTCATTAGATCTTTTCATTCTTGTCACCTGATCTATGTTGCTGAATAAAAAGAGAATGGAACCCTTTGGTTCCTTAGTCAGAGGGATATTATGCATACCTCTGGGTATTATTTATATATTATATATCATCTGTATTTTAGAACTGTCTTGAAAAACTGTTCACTTTTTTCTGCCATATTTATTACTACGAAGATGTATAATTGCAGGTTATTAGGGAAAATATCTGTAAGAGATCAGTTAATGGCAAAATCAGAAATATAAACACACAAACAAAAGCATGCATTGGATTTTGTAATTAAGGATCAATCTCATTAAAATCTTAATTTTTCAAACCACTTCCTATTGTTTTGTTTTGTTTTTTAAGAGTGGCTTCTAGTATTAATTACTTTTTCTAAAAAAAAATCAACAAATAAAATTGTATGCATTCATTAGTTGAATAAGCTAATTGTAAATGGACTACCTCACACAATTATTATTTTTACAGAGATAACAGTTAACATCCATTCCCTGTGTTTTTATAAACATCATTATTAATGATAATTACTTTGCTATACAATAGAACTCTTAAACTTGTCCCTGTCAAAAAAAAAAAAAGGTGTGTCCAAGCTCTTGACATTAAAATATGATATTGCCATCTACAAATGTCTTGGGCCACTTTCACAGCTGCTCTCTAAAGGTATGTGTGGCCTGTGGAGTGCAAGTTGAACATGTCTGACAGTAAATGGTAAAGTGAAAGACGGACCTAACCAATCAGAAAGTAACTAAGATCTAATTAGAAGTTTTCCGCTTTAATTAATCAACTGTAGTCTCTTAATGTTGCTTCTGGAAACAGCAGTCTTTCGAAACCCAATGAACTTCTTAGGTGTGAGAAATCTCAGTCTATGACTGACAGAATGGTCAGGTAAACTTGTTAAAATACAAATATGTATGTTCTTTTGTTTGTTCGATTTGTTTTGTTTTTGTTTTTGTTTGTTTGTTTTTGAGACAGGGTCTCTCTGTGTAATCCTAGCTGTCCTGGAGCTTGCTATGTGGACCAGTCCAACCAGGAACTCACAGAGATCCTCCTGCCTTTGCCTCCAGAGTGCCAGGATTAAAGGCGTGTGCTACCACGACTGGCCAAATGTGTTTGTGTTGTAATGTAAAATGTTGCCTTTGTTGCAAATTTTTTCTCTCTAAAAACAGTTATCTCTATTTGCTTACAATAGAGATTTGTAAACAAATCTCTTTTGCTTATTTCAGAAGTCAGCTTTTACCCTGGTAATAATAATAATAATAATAATAATAATAATAATAATAATAAAAAGATTAGCACTTTTATATTGGGTAGTATCCAGATTAGCATAATTCTGATTGTACAATTAGATAGTATAGTCTTAGTTTGTTGCCTGTTTCTTTGGTGAGAATTTGAGTTTTTGCTTGTTCCTAGTCATTAGGTTTGCTCATAATAACATCATTATTCTACCATCTAACCTTGAAGCACAACAGACTATAAAACTAGATATCTTATCAGTGTTTGCAACATGTTAGAAAAGTCACAATTCCTAAACAAAAGTCTGTAAAATTAATTGTAAAGGGGTTTATGATAAGTTTTTCTTGGGTTTAAAGAACACTTAACTTCTTACAGGTCACTAGAAAATAAAAGTAATCAAAAGATAATGTAATTATTGCTATTGTTATTGAACATAACAATAATCCAATTTTTCAATGCATATTTAATCCTGATCATGGACTCCTGAGCACATTATCAGGTTTTCTAGTTATTTTTATGTATATACCATTATAAATTACCTATTTCAAGAACTATATGTTTTAGAATCTTTATATGTTGTTGAAGTGGCAGCACTGGCCACAGTGTAAGGATGTTACTTTCTACCTAACTTTATTAGGAATAAATAACATTGGAGCTAATCCCAAAGAGGTAAGTCTATTTTGCTAACCAACAAAACACAGTAAAAACAATTTATTCATTTTCTCCTTTAACATCTGCTCTTGTTTTCAATCTCACTTACTCTACTAGGCCAACTAGACCCACTTTCCTATTTTATTCCATTGCCTGATTCATTCTACTGTGTGAATTTAGCCACTTGGGAACAAGAAAATCTTTCTTAATATGCCCTGCAATTTCTTCTGCCTTCCTACTAACCTTTCTTTTATTTTCATACATCCACAAATATTTACTTGGTGGCTTCTATCTTACAGACATTTGTGGCCAAGCAGTCATCCTAGCACAGGCAATCGCTTCCTCTCAAATGTATCTTTGTCTTCCTTATCCCAGACCTTTAGATAAGCATCCGACTTCAACCTAGTTCTCCTCCTGACACTCATTTTAGGGCTCTTTCATAACTTATTCTTCATCTTATTTATTTCTGCTTTGCTTTGTCCATAACACAAGGAGACCCACCACGTCTGGTGACATTCCAACAAACTTCATGTACTGACTAACACACTGCTGATTTAAGACAAAGGAAGAAACAAAAAGTTGCTACCATGCTTCTCTGGTAAAGTTCAGCACAACACAGGCAAAGTTACTGAAGCTCTACTCATGGTTCACGTAGCTGAGGGAGAAAACTTATAGGTCATAAGATTATGGGGAAGTCACAGGAGACAGTACAGCAATGCTCAGAAGAAAGCTGAACTGAACTGAAAATGTCCAGTTTTCCTTCTGAGCACCCCTGAGTGTCCCTATTAAGTAATAATGGGGTAAGCAAGCTTATCTTCCCTGAATTTCCTAGCTGGAACAGACATGCCATTAGTATATTTAAAACCAAGAAATCACCCTCTGAAGTTCTTACCAACCCTCTTCATCCTTCTACTTCCTCATACTTGGAGTTTACCACATTAGAACATGGCCAGTGCACTGTAGTTTTTACTCAGTAAACTGACTTGATTTTTTATTTTAAACAATGATGTGGATAGAAGGGGCATTGAGTAGAATAGTATTTTTCTTTGTTTTAACTAACTTAGGTGTGTGTGTGTGTGTGTATGTGTGTGTATGTGTATGTGTGTGTGAGTGTGTATGTGTGTGTGTTGCAGATAACTGAACCCATGGCTTTGAACCCATACTTGCTAGATAACTACTCTGTCACAGAGGTACACTCACAGTCCAGTCATTTTCTTTTGTAGTATGTCTGATCCCTTTCCTTAGAAATAAACATTACATAATTTACATGGTACTTAATTAGGAAACAATGGACCATATAAAACCAGGCTTCTAGTGATGCTGAAAAATATGTCTGTTGTAAAGAGAATAGTATCTCAAAACAAGGCTTTAAAAAAAATCACAAGTTCTATTTGTTATCTTTGAGGCCAGTTATTGACTCAGAACTTTTTCTTGCAGAACATTACTAGGTTAGTAAAATAACAATTTGATATTATCATTAGCAATGCATTTTTCCTACCATGAAAAATTCAACCATATGTAAAATTAAACAAAATAATATGTACCCATCAATGATTTGGTAGTTACATAATTTGGCTCAAAAAATAGAACTGTTCTTAAGGAGACAATCTTAGTTGCTGCTAGTCATTTGGCTCACATGAGCTCTCTTGCCATTCTAATACATTTGCTAGTATAGTAAGTATTTGTTTGAATCCCAAGTTTTCATTTGGTGATAAACATTTAGATAATATTAAAAGTGGTGGTCCCAGCTTAGGTAAACTACAAAGAGAATCTACTGTTCTTCTGTATGGAGAATATTGCTTGATATAAAGCAACTGAAACACAAAGACTTTTAAGTTCCTTGGTGTTTTGTCAGGATCTCATAAGAACATAACATTTCTTGTAGGTGTGTGTATGGAGCTGTGCTAAGAGCTTTGCAGGCACTGTTAAAACAGCCCTGTGAGGAGTGCTTGCTGTCTCATTTTATAGATATGAACTCAGAAACTGAGAGAGATTAGTGTCATTCATTCACGGTCCTGAATCTCCCAACAAGTATTAGGCAGAATCATATTTAAGTTGTATTCCATTTTTATCTTCTATATTTTGAAGAATTAAAAATGCTCTACTTTCACCATTAGGAACATTTTCCATAGTGAGTTTATTTTTTTAAAGGACATCTGCATCTAGAGAAAGAGTACATTTGGAATATGGATAAAGGAATGACTACCCACAGGAAAGAGTGAGAGACCAGCATAGTTCCCTTGGAGCAGTAGGAAAGGAGCAGGACAGCTTCATAGTAACAAATCTATGGAACACAAAGGAAACCAGTAAGAGCATTGGTTTTCAATTCAACATTTAGCAGTTTCTATTTTTAACAAATTAAAGAAATACTTTTGTTGTTGGCTTCATCTTTTAAATTGATAATTTATAAATTTGGCCCATAAACAATAAAGAGTAGTGACTTACATGTCAACTGAAATAAGTTTCTTTTCTCCATTGTCAGAAGCATAGTCCCAAACTGCTTCAATGATTCCGATGTAATAATGTCTATCTCTTGTCCAGGCTAGAGGAGTATACAAAAATAGAAAAGCACCAAGCAGCAAAAAGTTCATTTTCCTCCTGTCTTGAAGACTGAGATGAAATAAAATGAAATCAGGAACAAGCAATTTTATAAATAAGACTTTCTTCCTTTATTTGCTTGATTGACACAACTTAATGTTACACAAGAGTAAATCATTTCATTAAAGCAAATAATGTTTTCCAACTCAGTTTGCCTTTGGCAAACCAGGAAGAGGGGAAAAAAAAACAAAAACAGTTCCCGGTTACCAGGCTTCTCTAAATACAAATGGAATGTCATCAGTTACTGTTGGACTCACCACAGTGTTCAGTAAAGCTGCGCTTTCTTCCATTCATTGTGTGAATTCCAGGAAGGCACAGAATGTCTCTAAATGCTCCCTTTGTTCTAGCATTCCCAGGCACTACAGCGTTCTGCCCAAAGCCAGTTCTTAACAAGCCAAGATAAAATGAATCAAAACATGCAACTGCTAACTATTCTAGAAGACAGAAATTTACTTGTAGAAATATATGAAACCTTATATTTAGCATGTCATAAAAGTAGCCAATAGGAATTTCATTTTGAAATTTTATCTACTCTGTGTGATTTGGACACTACTACATAGAAACTTTACCAAATTGCCCTGGATTTCCATGTAGAAAATAATAGCAGAACATACTAGGAATTGATGATTTTGTTTGAATCATCAAAGATATCAGTCATAAACCAAATGGTGTATGCTTGTGGTCCCAGTTACAGGGGAAGTTGACACATGGCAATGCAGAGTTTAAGACAAGTGTGGAAAGTAAAGTGATACCCATATCAGAGAGAGAGGGGGAGGAAGGGGAAGAAGGAAGAAGAGGAGGAGAAGCAGAAGCAATAGTAGCAGCAGGAAGGAAGGGAAAGAGATAGGAAAGGGAAAGAAAGGAAAGGAAGAAATCAACCACAAATAAGTCTGTTTTCAAAGGCAAAGAATGATTTTACTCAATTGGAAAAAAAAAAACCCTCTTGTTTATCAGCCTAGAATTTCTCTTCTTGTACTGTGTGTGAGCTTCAAGGTAAAAGATGTTTGATTAAAACCCTGTCTTTACTTATGGCAAAGTATTTTTTAAGCCAAAAACAATCCTGATGACAGCAGTTAACATTTTGTGTTAATTCAGCTGTTGTTTTCGGTGGATTTCAATAGGATACTGTTTAGCATTAAAGGCTATTTGCAGAAATAGATTGGTGTGAAAACAGGCACCCTCCCATGTTAACAAACCTGTTAACATTGAAACATTAGAAAACATTGAATGAGCTCTACTGCGGGCACATAGCAGTGGATAAAATTCACGGAGCTCAATTCCATTTAGGAGGAACTAACAATAAACACATGAAAACGAAGAGCATAATGTCAGCCAGAGGGGTATGGGAAGAAATAATCAAGGAGAGAGAATAGTGAGTACCAGGAAAAATGTTAAAATCTGATGCTGTCAAGATCGTATCCTCAACTTCCATTTCCTCCTCAAAGGGCAGTCATCCAGATTAATTGAAATGACTTTGTAAGATGGTAATAACTGTGTGTGTGTGTGTGTGTGTGTGTGTGTGTGTGTGTGTGTTTGTGAGTGTTAAAGGGGTTGAACACAGTATTTTAGACATCTTTATGCATACCAGGCAAGTGCTCTACCACTGAGCCTAGTCTTGGCTTGTAATGATCTTGGCTACATGACTGATAATGAAAACTGAGTTATAGAACCTAGGGTGCCCCAAGCTTCCTTCTGGAGCTTTCCCTGAACAATTCTCCTCTCACATCTACAGAGCACACAGGAGTAGGTCTAAAATCATGTGAGAATTCACTGGTCAAACTTCATGCCTTGTAAGAAACTACTCCTTCCCAAAGGTTCTGTTCCCCTTCCAGATGGGCCATATAGGGGGCATCTTTTAGCAGTTCATTCTCTAGAAGAAGGTGTGGACTTCTAATTGGCAAGAAGCCACTGCATGATCCTGCAGATATCTTATTTGTCTCAAAGTTTAAATTTACTGAGATGGCCAGAGCAGCTGTCTCCAGAGTGACTTCTTCCTGAAAAAAAAAAACATATATATATATATATACATATATATATATATATATATGCTAATTGAAACTCAAATATGTGATGAATCCAAGGTGTTTCAGTGAGTGCTCACCTGTGCATGCAAATTTGATTTAATCTTTAATAAGTAGTAAAGTTATATGCTTGCCAAATAAAAAATAATAATAAGTGACACACTGGACGACAAATGTCACACAATTTCAATTTTCTGTATAACCTAGAAATGATGAACTTATGGGAACAGAGAGCAGAATTGTG